CTATGACTTTGACCCTAAACCATGGCCTCCAGCAGATGAAACATAACCACAGGATTTATCAGTTAGGCCACATTCACCCACTCAGATCTAATTCTGACCAATGACCTGAAGAGAAAAAGAGAATAATGGAAAGACAGGGAAAATGAAAAATATACCAAGAGATTGTAAATCACTAAATTTTACTAAGACAAACAGGTCACAAAAGTGTATTATTATTATTATTATTGGTTCTACAATTATCTAGGCAAAAATCTTAGTAACAACCAAATTTACTTTGCTAGAGTTCTAAATTTTAATGGAACTATACAACTTATTTTCTCACAGACACCTGATGAAATTTAAGCCTTAACTTTCTAAACAGTTTAATACCTAATTTCTGTATGGGATGAGAAAATTGTCAGACACACTAAATAAATGTCTACTTTGGAAAAAAAAGGCAACCAAACAACCCAAACCTCACCCTTCAAATTCTTCAACTCATGTGATACTTGCTGTTTACTACTGGTTTAGAAGTCTCATTGTTGGCACCAATTATAAAAATATTGGAGCATATATAACTACATAAAATTATCTTTAAACAGTATTTGAAAACCTTTCAGCATGTTTGACCATCAATATGATTAAAGGTTTGATCCATAATGTCACTATCTGCAGAGTCATTTCATTTCCTCCATGGCAGGTGTGCTTATGGAACAGCAGAGGTTTCATGCAACATTTAAATACATTGCTGCGGCATTAACTGGAATTACTTTCAGAGTATTTCTGAACTCTTCTCTATTTTTCATAAAGTTTGTTATGATCATACTGATGGATTTGACTAGTGTTAGACACTGCATATTTTATGAGGGCTGACAAACTCATTTAAAGGCTGGTTTATTTTATTGATACCTGTGCAGCTTTTAAATGCTTGAGGTAAAATTTTCTATGCTTGACAGCTATCTTAAGGTGGTATGATTTTTTTCTTTCTCAACAGAAGTGTCTCAAGTCATTTATCATCCTTGTTAAAGCCATGAAACACAAGTGTTTCAGAAAAAACTTCATGCCTTTAAGTATGGACTCAAAGTGGAACATTCACCTTCTGTGAACTTGTTCCCACCACAGCGACAGCCTGGCTTGAAGCACTGCTGCTTTTCCTGCTTGCTCCAGCAAGAGAGCTCCATATGGACCATTCCACACCGTGACAGAGTCAGTCTCATTACAGTGAATGGAAGTGATAAGTCGTCACTTAGCAAAGAAAACATCTGAATTGAGGTAGCGGATACTTCTATGCAGATCTCTGGTATACGCAATACATCAGAACATGGGGGTTTTAAAATTACGTACCACCTAGAGTGTTCTCAGAATAATTCTGTATAAAACACTGCCATTCTCAGGATTTCTGGTTTGTTAGAAGCAAAGACAACTGTATGGTTCTGCACTTAAAAAGAAAATGGCAGGACTATTGTTACTAAGCACTCTGATACTGTGATAATAAGCACATCAAAATACAAGAAAAAGTATTCTATTCAGAGGATTCAAGTAGACCACAAATAGGGAAAGCAACACACAAGCAGTGTGGATAAAACAAAATACTGTATATGTATTTAGTTACTGTCTATTATTTACTGATGATTTCTGACCTTCCCTGGAAAGGATTGTAAGCAGAGTTAGTTTTGGCTATTCAGGAGATCTGACCTCAAAAATACTTTTTAGGCATATATTAGAATTTTATTTTCTTGTTGGAGCTAGAAACATGTAAGACAGTTATGAAAATTTGCACTTCCTGGGGGAGTATGAAAAAATCACAACATAACCAGTGTAAAGCTAAGACTGTGATAACTGAACAATAAATTGAAGTTTTATTAAGTGAAGTTATTCTAATCTTTAAACCCAAACTAAACCTATCATTAACAATAAATCAAAACAGAGCTATGTTTGCAAGGCAAAAGAAAATAACAGGTAATTTGTAAATGATTCATTCTGCAAGTATTATGAACTTCAAGGAATAAATTAACTTTAAACTTTTACTAATTGAAAAACAATTCATCACAGATAAATGAAGATTGTTAACTCTGAGCAAGGAAGATTGCTATTTAATGTCCACCCATTCATTCCTCTCTATTAATAAGAGATGGATCTAAAGGTCGGTTGGTAGACATATTGCCATATCCTGTACACAGCAAGCAAAAATCCTTTGATCCTTTTTTTAGTATATCTCATTGTAATGATATTCACTTTTCAAAAAAAGCAAAGATACCAACTGGTTAGGAAAATGTAGAAATAATACAGATAACAGCTAGTTTCCTTACTGAAGGGGATTTCAAGTGGTGGCTATTGGAAGAAAGATTCTACACTTTAATTAGAATAAAATTTGTTATTGATTTTTATATTTGTCTTCTAGCACACAAGTTTGGAGCATATCCTGTACACATACTATATTAATATTCCAAATGTATGATTAGATCAATATTCATTGTCATGGAAAGATATTCCACTGTAATGGAAAGTTGCTGCATACATATATTAAAATTTAGGTAAAATACATTAAACCACACAGATATTATTTCATGGTCTCTGTATTGTTTTCTATATCACAACCCACATGCAGGTGCAATATCAACATTTTAACTTAGAATAATTTTATTTTGCTCTGTAAATCAAGGGAATAAAAGAGTATAATTAAATTTCTCCTATTCTAGACCTGTAAGAGAAACAGGCACTTACCTTTTGCCTTTTCTTCCTCCACCTTTTTTAGACTTGTCTTCTATTCAGTAGGCAAGAGATACAGACTTAAATGACACTTGAAGTCAACTACACTCCTATTTAACATTTAAGCATAAACTATGCTGAAATCCTAATTATTTAGAATACATGCAGACTATTGTACACAGAAAACTCCCCAGTGATCATGTAAAATAAAGTTATCTTTGTAAATCTCATGAAAAGAGAATACAAGTTGTACACAAAGTAGCACTAGAGTTTAATCTAGGGCACAAAGTTTCTTCTGCCCCATAAAGTGATGATTATGAAAGTCTGTTGAGACAAACATTTTTAGGTCCTTTGGAATGCTTTCTGTACAAGTATGTCAACCTCTGTCACAGGAAACTGGACAATGAACTGTTATGCACAATGAAATCTTCCATCTTTAGGGGTCACCCTATTATTACCTGATGGAAGAACCATTCTAGAGTCAAAGTGGTACTAGGTCTCTTAACTTTTCTAAAGTCACCTGAAAAACTCAACAGAATTATTGATGTCTCTACAACAGTGTAAATATTGAATTATTCATAGAAATTTCTTAATCCACAGCCTGAAATTATAAACAGACTAGCTATTTTCCCAGCCATCTATTACCTTTTGCACAGGAACACTGTTCAGATTTGTTTTGTTAACTGCAAACAGAGACATATGAATCTGACACAATATTCCACTGACTTTAATTTACATGCAAAGCCCAAGTCATGATGCTAACTGCATAGCCAGAAGAAATAGAAACACTTTTTGACTGTAGAAGCAATAAAAGCTATCTCATGTCCCTTTCCACAGTGGAATTCAAGCACAAGGCTACTACTCAGATTTTATCCTATTTAACTAAGTTAGGGAACATGTGCAGAGGTAACTGTAGGCAAGTGGTACTATGTGTGGTTGCCCATTCATTTGCCAACAGATGAAATCCTGATGAAGGGATTCCTTTCAGAGGCACCTTCCTGCAGAGGTGCCTCAGTGATGCTGTGTACATCTCTGTCACACATCTGAACAATGCTTTGTCTGCCTGAGTGCCACTGAAGTGTCTACATAGCTCTTGATCTAGGTCAGGCCAATTTCAAGGATCAACACCATGACCTCTTGTGTTCTGCTGCAATACAGATGTAATTCAACATTAAAGCAACTACAGTATATCCTACTAGACTTTCTCAGGTATTGACCCTAGATGGCACCTTTTAGTCAGCAATGCATAACAGGAACAACAACAAAAGATTTGTTAATTGCTACTGTATAGCAAATAACAGCATCTTTTCCTGTGTACCAGCTACTCTTAAAGAGGTGGTGATTGTGGCACTCATTCTTCCCTTATACTTCTAACAAAAGACACTTTTAGCTATCTGCACCCTGAGTATGTAATATGCATGAGCAGTGGTATCAATTTTACTTTCTTTTTAATCTTGAAATCAGCAATGGTTTTATGAGTGAAGGAGGGACAATTCAAATATACTCTGATTTTTCCTGTTTGTCTAAAGGAAACCATGTAGTTAGTGTGTTGGAATAACTTGTTAAATAAATTGTGATCTCAGTGCTCAGTTATCAAAATCCAATTTCACTGCAGTTTTAACATGTTGTGCATTTCAGTGGTTCTGGACTCAATGCAGACTTCCTCTAAGGAAGCTCTGAATTGCCCAGACACTCATAATTGTAGTGCCTTATACCATTACAACCTCTAACAGTTCTATCTGTTCAAGCTCAAATAACTACATTTATTACTCATATGAATCAGCATGACATTCTCAAATCACCTGGGAATCTACAGTTCAACCTCAAAACACTCGGCTTTAGTTTTGCTGACTACACAGTTGTGAGCCTTACAATTATCTTCCACTATTAACTAATTATCAATTAAATCAAAATATCTCAGATTATGAATTTTTGGAGGAAAGCATAGCTTTGTGCTCCAGCTTGGGACAATTTTGACTGAAAAGTCATTCTAATAAGTTTTGTTTTTATTTACAGCTCCCAGGAGTATTCTACTTAATTCACTGCCATGTCACCTAAACTTCTGATTAACAGTATCAGATTTAAGATTCTTGATTTTACTAGCGCCATACCTTGAACAATAAGAAAATTTTCTTTATTTCTTTTTTGTATAAACATTTAAACTCTCCAATTCCTATAATCAATGTGTTAGTATTTCTACTAATGTTTTTGCCTTCTAAAAATTATGTTCCTATACCACTACGTGACAGACAAGCCTTCAGGAAAGTGAGGAAAACATAAAAACAAATAGGATGACCCCTTTGTATCATTACCTGTTTCAATTTCCCAAACATAAACTGAGTTGTCTTCACATCCAACAATTAGCACATTCTCAAGAGGGTCAAATTTTATCTTCTTCACAGGAAACAGATGCTTTCTGGCATGTAAGAGACACTGTCTCTTCTGAAGGTGTAGAATTGCTACTGAGTGGTCACTGCACACACAGCACACTATACTCTGGTCTTTCAACTGCAAAAACAGAAAACTCAGGTTTCAACACTGTAACTACATTCATAACCACATCATTTCAACTGGCCTAATAATAGTATTCCAGCAGTTTCTTTCCCAGAACATACTCAGTTTAGAAATTTATTTTTTATTTCAGCCAACATCTTCAACTTGTTTTCAGAAGTCTGGCTAAACAATTCATTTCCTGACAGGAAAACATACCTTCATCTTTGCTTTTTCAGTATTTTAAATATAATAATTTAATTTCCATTTATTCACAGAATTAGCATATCAAAGCAATGATTATATAGCCAACTATACAGTAGCAGTTGTCCTACAAGAGAAAGTAGTAAAAAAATTACCTTAAACCAAACCGGTATTCATGTGATATAAAATTATGTCAGGTTTAAAAACAAAAGCCAAAGGTAACTTATTTCTAATAAAACAAACTAAGTTAGAAATTAATTTCATACTGAATGGATCTGATACTGCAAAGCCTTCCTTCCCTGCAGGTAATTTTTGGTGACACACAGGAATTCCCCTACAGAGCAATTCAGCTCTTTAAACAATGCTGAAACAGCAGCCAGATAGGCATTAAATCCTACTCAGTTTTAAGAATAAAGATGAAAAGGAGCCTTACAAATATTAACAACTTGGTTATTGCAAACAGTTTTTTGACTACCTAATTTTGGCATGTAAGTGAACTGTGAGTCATTCATTAGTATCAATTATGTGTTTGTAGGCTAAGAGGAAAAATGGAAATCCCAGCCCCAGGGAATATAAGGTTCAAAAGTTACATAAAACATTCTGTACAGTAATGTACAGAATTAACTTCAAAATTCAATTAATTAGAAAAAAAATTTAAATTGTTCTGAATATTATAAAATGCAAAAACATACACATAAAGGACGAAAAAGATATGTCAGGGACCAAAATGAAGTATATCTATTTTAGAGCAATAGAGAAGATTAAAATACCATGTTCAAGCTCCTAGCCTTATTGAGCACATTCTTTAATTTTCAGGAGGAGGAGTTAATCAGATTGACATATAAGTTGATCATCATCATATTATAAATGGTGAATAGAATGTTAAGAGCTTCAATTTAATATGTCACAAACTCAAGTATTCATCTCCCTGCAATTAAAAGCAACTTTCAAAGACAAAAATTAAGTGAAAGTACAATATCAAAGTGGTGTGGGCTGAAGTATTGCCAGACAGTGTTTTCTTTTTATTTTTTCTTGTATATAAATATATATACACACACAGATGTGTATATAGAGATTTACTTTTTTTTGAGACATTTATTATGTTTTTACTTACTCTGTAGTGTTCTGGGGATCTCAAGAGCTCTGTCACTGCACCAGACTGCAGATTAAACTGATGTAGGATGCCTCCAGTAAATACATCCCAGCAGATCACAACAGAATCCTGGCCCCCTGATAACAGCCAGCTTGGATCAAATCTCACCGATTTGTCATGTGGATAAAGTAAGCAAGTGACTCTGCTACTGTGACCATTCAAAACCTTATAAGGTAAATTATCTGAAACAAGATGGTACATGAATTATTTTTGCTCTTTAAGAGTTCCATATCTTACAGCACATTTCCTGAAAATCAGGATAAATATAACCAACCTTTACATGGGATCAAAGAATTTTGAACCTGTTCTAAAAGAGAGAACAAAGGTCTGCACTCTGAGCTTCACTACTGAGATGTACCCTTTATGTTCCTTTCAGTGGAATGATCTTTTAGAGATCAAATAAAAAAGAAAACTGCCAATATAATGACATGCCACATATCTCACTTCTAGGGCATAACCAATCCCAAGCCATTCCCAGTTTCCTACTAATGGAAAGCACCTTGGTAGTACTAAGCTGTGATCCAACAGATCAGATATGGAAAGAGAAAGATCATCATAATCTTCCATTTTCCTCATTCCACTCCTGACCACCAGCCCTACTTTATGGAGAATTTTTACAGGGATGACTGGAAGGGATGCCAGAAATATGAAGTCATCTGTGCTTGACTGAGATGAATCTAAACAAATTTTTAAAACTTACCTTTAAGAAAAGATATGTTTTCTAAAAGTCTTGCTCTTGCAGTTTTTAAACCTAATGTTACAAAAATTTTTCCGTTTTCACATCCGCATACAAGCCTATCAAGACCAGGTATGTACACAGAGGAACTGACAACTGCATTTCCAAATCCATCTTCAGATCCACAAAGTTGATCAATAATGCCCTCTGACATGGAACGATGTTTATCAAAATTATCCTGAAGAGTCCACATGGTTGTAATTGGGATCTCTAGAGAGTGGGGCAAGAGAGGATTTTTTTGTTAATGCAAAACAAAATATAAAAAGTCAAACTAAACAAACACTTTTCATCTCTTGATCACTTCCCTTAACTTATCCTTCTTGCAGTCTAGGGTTGGAAAGTCAGCAGTTGCTATTCCTCCTAACTACAGGCAATCACCACACAATGATTAAATGAGCATCACTTTTTAGTGTAAGAAGTTTTTTATGAGAATTTAGATTTTCATGGAAATTGACTCCAAGACATAATGAAAAAGATGGTAGCAAGGTGCCAAAAGTGCCCAACCTTTCGGAGAACCATCAAACGTTGACACAGGAACATCGGGAACATGCCACAAAGTGATCCGTCCTGAAGTTTCACCAGAAAAAAGAACCTTGTAGAAAGGCTCCTTTCTTTCATTCATGAAGCCCATGACAAAAGGAAGACTCTGAAAAAAAACAGTAAACCAATATTCTGATAGAAAACTGATAAAATAATATAATAATTAATTGTAAAGTGTTTTTTCATCAAAAGCTGTAAAAATATGAAACAAACCACAGCTGATTCCTTATCTGCCACTAAATCCTGCTCAGACCAAGTCTACTCTGGCTGGTACAAACCTTTCAAGGATCACCTCTGCTTTACAAGTATACTTGGCTAAACCTACATCCTAAATGCAAAAGTAGACTGGGACATCTCCCCAGGTTTATAGTTTCACCAGCATAAGGACCAAGGCCAGGCTGAAAAAACAATGCAGTGAAATACTGATAATATTTGAATCAAAACAAATGCAGTAAAGCTCCAGTAATCACAGCTAACATAACTACAAATAATGAAAGGTAAGGACTATGCTTTTACATAGGTAATAGTCTATAATACCATCATTCCGTTATGAGGTGGTGGAGCATTTCCAAAGAGTAGCAAAGCTGCTGAAGAGTGTGGAGCAAAATTCTGATAAGAAGCAGCTCGAAGAGCTGGGGTTGTTTACTCTAGGAAAAAAAAGGAGGCTCAGGAGAAAGCTTATCACTCTCTACAACTACCTCACATGTTGGATATACTTATTTACAACACTGAAGTTTGAGAGTCAGTTCTAAAATAATTAACTGTCCTGTAAAATGGTTCAGTTTATAGCCTCAAAATGGAGTTCAAAACAGATCATCACACAAGGGATTTGGTTGTCTGACAAATCTGCGAGACAAAAACTATTCAGGCAGCAAGGCAAATATTAAAGCAGAAATATTAAAAAAGAGCAGGTCAATATTTTAAAATAGCATATATTAGGGGGGAAGTACATGTGAACTTCGTACCACCACTGTAACCCTATTTTTTGCTAAGCCATGTGTTTTGGCTATTTCTTTTCCCTCACCTTTCTCAACCTTTTGGCATCCTTCAGCATTTTTCCTATCTGATTTTTAGATCACAGCACTTGGAGAAAAGCTGAATGGTTTATGCTGTTTTCCTTAACTGAAAAATAAATCTGTCAGGCTTCACAGGATTATGCAACAAGAATGCTTTTTAAGGGCCTACATTTGTCAACAGAAAGAACACTAGAAAAACATCACACAAGTATATATTTAACAGTGTTTCCTGACAGCTACAAATACAAATCTGTTTCTGTTGCATATTGTCAGAAACTGCTTAACAACCTCCTTGAGCTGTCAGACAAACACTCAAACTAATGCAGTTTCAGGCAGGAATTAAAGCCACATCTTCCAACAATTAGAACTTCATTAACAGCATTAGCAATCAGACATAGCAAAAAACCCAGAATCAAAGCTACACAAAATAATTCATTCTATGCTCTGGTTCACTTTTTGCCCAAGTAAGAAGTGCAAAAACCTACCTACCTTGCCTACCACATATCTTTCCTGCCCCCCATTGCCCAGCTTCCTAATTACAATAAATGTTCTACCTTTCAAATCAACTCAGTTTCCTTATTTATTCCTTTGTAGTTACACAAAGCACTGCATAACAAGTGGGTGAATATTTACGTTCTCCAGCACAGTCAGGTCCATTTGAGATACCTTGTCTACACAGTAACTTTTGTTACAATTTGGTGAGACATGCTCTGCTGATTATGAATTCTCAAAAGTATAGAGATCACCTAGTTTTTCAGCTTCCTCTTTTCTTAAAATTAGAGGCTTCCTCAAGCAAAGACCACGGTTCTGAAGAGAGTCACATGTGTCATTTTATACACATTTTGTACATCAGTCTGCTCACAGTGCAAGAAAGTTCTGTGTGTGATTATGCCTCTGGAAGCTCAAACCAGCAATATTCTGGACAAAATGCCAGAATCAGACCCCTTCAATTTTGGGTGGACACACAACCTATTTATCATTGAAACATGCATACATTCTTTAATAAAACAAGAAGTAACTTGTTTAAATTTTTCTCATAGGTTTCCTTTCTTGATTTTGGTTTTATGGCATGGTTTTATTTGTTGGGAGTTTCTATTATTTATTTTTGTTAATTTTGATAGATTTGAAAGTAGAAGATTCTAAAAATATTTTAAACCACATCTTTATTAGAAAAATATTTTTCTTTTTGCAAAATTAGAGAAAAAATACAACAACCAATCTATAGCTGAAGGCATTTTTCCATAGGGAAAAAAACCTAAATATAGTCAAAATCAAAGACAAAATATGTTATGAGAATCTCCAAGTTTCCAAGTTACAACTTTAAAATGAAGGAATAAATATTACTCTTTTTTTTATACAACAATTAAATCTGTTGATGAATTCATCAATTCTTTTGGGATTATTCAGGTAATTGCAAAAAGACAATAAATAAACTTTTGAATCTTTGAGTTTACCTTATTTTCCTTCATACCAGTAAAGCTGAGTAAATGAGGATAAACTGTTTCCTTTAGCGCCTTCCCATCAGCAGGGTACATGCTTTTAGAAAGGCCACTGCATAATTAAAAAATAAATTTTAAACATACAAGCTTTAGAAAGTAATTTTTTCAGAAAGCAGAACAGTAACATCCAAGATTCACAAGTTCAATTAAAGGTAACCAAGTAAGTAATTACAGGAGACTTTTTGAAATCTCAGCACCAGCTGCCCAAGTTCTACATGGCTAATCTTATTCCTATGTCCCCTGCTGTGTCAAACAAAGACTGAGGGCTGTCAAACTCAGGGTAAATCTTTGAGTGCCAAAGTGGTTTTGTTCTGGTTTTTGATCATTTGCAACATGCGGAGATTTTCCATAGTAACCCTCCAAAAGTTCATCTTATACCTGAACTTTTTGTGTGAATTTCCCATCTGAGCCCACCTGTTTAGCAGCTGGTAGATGTAACTGTGGCCATCTTCTGTCCAGATGATAAGTCTGTAAGCTGCCAGCACTTCCCCACCAGCAAAGTACTGACCACTCTTACAGAACTCAGTACAAAGCAAGGAGAAATCACAATAATCATAGACCTAAGTTCAGAAAAACAACAAAATATACAAAATACTATTTGTTTAAATAGTATTGACACATTCATTTCAATCTAAAGTGGGTTTGGGCAGTGGATCTGTAAGTAGAACATGAGTTCAACTCTTCACAGTTGAACAACTATTTTTAAAGCCTAATATGTTTTGATAAATAACTAAAGTCAAGTTAGAGTTAAACCATATAACTCAAAGTTAAAGAAAATTACTGTTAAAAAACCCCCAAACAACCAAAAAGTAGCATTAGGGTGTTATAGCCTAATTATAGAAATTATTAGGAAACAGTGCATGTTGCAGATATTTTTCCATAAAGTATCCTATCCATTCTACACTCTAAAAATGCTTTTGTACAGAATTTAAGTAGCCCAAGAGACATCTCAAGCATAGTCTACAACTACATTATTTGAAGTTCACCCAGGTGAAATTTTTTGACGCATTCCTGTCCCCACAGAGATGCTGGAATTAGGTATACATGTTAAAATAATCCTGAGTGATTAGTGCAGGAGAAATTTTGTAGCACTGTTAAAGAAAACTACAGAATTTTTACAGTAAATTTCAGTTTAAATATACAATGTTTTCTCTAAAACTGTTACTAATTTCTTTTTAAATTTTAGTTACTTTATTATAGTTACAAGAAAAAGCAATATAGCCTAGGGGCTTTAGTTTTGGTGCTTCTATTAACAAACAAAGGTCCCCGGCTGCTGAGGACTTGCCAACTGTGAGTACTTCTGTCATACTTAAACAGGGTTTTTTAATCTTTGTCTCCCTTTCAGATGCACTGTGGAGTGGACAATAATGCACTCAGTGCTCTAAAACTGTCTAATACTTAAATCCCCCTTCTATCCAGCAATTTGGTGTTAAACTTTCAAAGCGGAAATACATTTATAAAAAATAAAAGCTCAATCTCTTTCACACAGTTAAGATAAGCAAAGAGGTGTTGCAGGCATAATTATATCTGACTATTTGTGAACACTTTCTTTAACCCAGGAAGAAAAACAAGTATCTGCCTGTAAAAATCATATTAGATTTTTCAACATTATAAAGAAAGTATAATGCTCAAAAATGTACCTGCCAGCACATGGAGGACACAACTAGAAGGAGCCTTTCCGTGTAAGTACAAAATCTTACTGCTTGGCAATTTATACAGTCCAGAGACTTTGATTCCTTCTCGCACACACTTTGTTTCTCCTTGACAGCACAGAGGGGAAAGAAAGCTATAAAATTTGTTTCAGATATCTAAGCTTTTAGGATAGAAACAATATTTAAAATATATTATATTTTAATTACTTTCTGTTAAGACTTTCAAAATTCAAAGCAACATATAATTCTTAATTAACAATAGAAAGACAACAGGGTTCATGACTAATATGTAAACAGAATAATGTAAACATTCAGTGTTAAAGAAAAAAAATAAAAAAATAGCTACAACAACGATTGAAAAGAGCATCAGATTCAGAAAAGCTGATGAATATTATACTTTCCTATTCATTCTTGTTGCAACCAGGACAATCTGAGATGCTGGTGTTACCATGTGTCTTGTTTGCTCTTAACACCTCTAAAGGTAGTGTAAAAGTAATTCATTTTCTTAGCTTTGTATTGCTAAATGTACTGTTAAAAACAATGTATGTATTTTCACAATTTTTGTGGGAATATCAGACATACTAAAGTCATCACGCTTGAAATTATTCTATTGGAATTATATTAATTATTGATTAAATCACTTAAAATGGATGTTTTCTGTTTTTTAAGACACCAACAGTCTCAAAACCTCTCAGAGAAGGGATATGGATGCTTGGAATCATGGCTATAAAACTAAAAGCCATTTTCTTACAACATCTTGCAGCTTCAGTTAATTCCAAGTAAATCCAACAATATTTATTAAAATACTGCTTTTCAGAATTTAGCCAGATTGTTATGAACTCTGCAGCAGTCCCTCCACAAAAGGTGGCCCCAGGCAGTAAAAAGACTGCACCACACCATATGTTCCTCTGACTTCTGTAATCAGTTGTTAGAGTCCTCAGAATTTTTACACCATGGCCGTGGGGCTTGCTCTAGGAATGTTGAAAAGATGCACCCACCCCAAAACATCAGATAAGTCAGAAACACCAGGATGGCGTCAGATTTGACAGACTCTCCTCAGGGTCCTGATTCTACCCATGAACAAGTAGCATTGCCCACACCCTGCACTCTGTCAAACTCAGTGATGAGTTACCAACATTCAGTCAAGTCTGCTGATATTTTGCCATTTCTGTCTCACTGTTGAAGACCCTTTGTGAATCCAGCTTTTAGAGTATTAAATAAAACACAAATTGCATCCCAGTTCTAAGCACTTGTTCATGGAAGGTGACAGCTACTGAGAATATTAATACGAAAAAGAGTAAGTGAGCTTAAAGATAGAAAAACAGGACACTTGACACAGGAAGAGTCTTTTCCAAGTGAAGACAGCACTGTGAAAAGTAGACTGAGGAAAACAAAATCTAAAGGACCATTTTGAAGAGAGTAACAAGGGTGAAAAGAGAGCACAAAGGCCAATATTGAAGAGCTTTGAGTTTAAAGGACAGAGTGAAGGGGTTCAAAGGCATTATCAGGATAGCAGGAAAGCACTGCAACTTAAGCATCCTGGAATATGAAGAAAAGAAGCCTGGCCAAAAGGTAGTGCAGTTGTCAAAGCAAGAGCTGTCCCAATGGCCCAATTTTAAATAATGCTATGAAGATGTGTGTTCAGAATTTTGTAACAAAAGTAATGAAATCTATTTAATAAATATCCAGAAGATTTAAATTTATTCACATTTTACTTCAATGTAGCCCTTACTTGAGAACATTCATGTTAACACTGACCTGAATGTTATTCAGAGATGAAGACAGGTCCCACACTTTGAGAACTCCAGCTACAGACACTGCAACCAAAGAGTCTTCTGTGAAAAGTTAACAATGAGATAGTCAACTTGAAGCCAAATTCAAACAGCACCTACATATTCAGCACTAAAACAAGGATTCTGCAGGACACTGCTTCGAGGACATATCAGTTTTACACAAAAAATAAAAGTAAATGATATACAGAAATACAAAACATGAAAGCAAACAGTGAATAATGTATTAACAGAAGGCACAGAACTGTGGTATTGTGCCTTTAATTTCTCTGATATTACAAAACTTATTCATACTTCAATATAAGAAATGAGCTATTTACAGTCAGTATAGATGGTGTTTCTTTCTCCAAAAATCATTTAAAATAAAACAGAACCAATATTAGAAGCCTTAAAAACACCTCTTTTGCTGTCAACAAAATATTAACATCTAGGTAACATCTCTGTGAAACAATTTCATATTAAATGAAGAAGAACATATCATCTGTACAGAAATATTTTATCACAATTTGATTTGCCTACATAAATACATGTATAACATATACCTTGAATTCTTGCAGAGTGTACAATACACATACAATTTATCCAATCAGAAGACTGAGATGATGATAAAGTGTGAAGAACACCCAAAGTTTTAGCATCAATAATAAGAACATCTTGATATTCTCCACAACAAAGAAGCCAACCTTCACCTGTCATTCGGAATGAGCAATGGTAATACTGTCCAAATGGAAAGCAGAGAGTCAGCACACCGAGATACACAAATGGCATGCAGATTTTTCACATTGAACATGTCATAATCAACACTTATCACTAAAAAATCAACAGCATTTGTGAAACCGTACACAATATTGCTAGTGACACTAGCAAGGCACAGAGCTTAGTAAAAGGTGCTTCAGACTGAAAGCAGCAACTGTCCTTCCTAAATATTAGGATTTTTCTGATTTTTGGAAGAAAGTCAGGTGTTAATTTTCCTATAAATTGCTAAGGAGTTTGAGACTTTACTACTCCATAGGATATTCCTCATTCTGACATTAAATGCCCTGGTGTTCAGAAGATTCTCTCAGCAATCACATAAAGGAAAAAAACAGACACAAAGCAAAGGAACAGAGACAGAGTGACTATGAGGATTTCTTTTTTCCTAGGTTTTTTATATGTGCAAGGACACCTGCATTACATCTCTAGCTGTAATTGTAAACAATTTCTATAAATCCATAAGCAGACACCTTAAAATAAAGGGAACACTCATGTAGTCAGACAAAAATATCAGACAACCCAAAAAAACTGCACCTCATTTACAAATTTTCTGTACAGTTTTGCTTATATAATAATTCTCGTTTTTTCAGTGAACTAACAAGTATCAAAATAAAAGTAGTATAAATAACTGGAAATAGGATGAATAGTACTACATATATATGTATATGTGAATATACACATATATATTCACATATATATATGTGAATAAACAGAGGCAGAAATGCTTAAAATTTACAATTACTGTTACCATAAAATTAGGCTTGACACAGAGGATTTTTAGTCAGTAATTCCTCTGAGAAAATTCCACACTAGTTAAGATCCGCAAATGTTTAAATGTTGACCCTGGTGTTAAATTTCATTTCAAATGGCAAATATTCAGTTTACACTATTTGACATCTGCCATTCATAGCTAAATCATCTACATTGAACAAGAGGAACCTAGTAGAGCAGAGAGGTTAGTAGTTGAATTAAAACCAAACATTAACTATAGCACAAGCAACCATCCCCCATGGAATAACAAGAAAAAAATTCTACAACAAAACACACACACACAGAAAAACGCATTTTATTATAACTATCTGAAGGCTGCATTTTAAGAATAGTTTCCCCTCCTAGCAATACCTACTTTTTCCTAAGAAAGTTTTCCTGTTAGATGTTCCTATTTTCCTTTAGTTGCTATCTTGCACAAATTATTGAACAAAAACAATGATTAGCCACAATTAGGTTTAGCTCACTACTAAAAGAAAGGAAGTACCTATTTTCTACAAGAATTTGCTTCACCTATTTGAAGATTAAGAATGAATTTTCTGCCTCTGATCTTCACAAAAAATGTACAGATTGTCAGCTAATCAGCTAGGCCAGATTTGCCTACTTCCCCACAGAATTCATCTGTAACTTCATCTATTAATACCTAATTAAGAACTAGAACATAGCAGGTCATACTGCAGCTCAGATTATAATTTAAGTATTGTTTTACTTGTGTACATATATCCACTTAAGAAATATATATGCTTTAAGCATATGCACAAATAAAAGTATAGAATAATTCTTAATTTATGTTTTTATACACATACATATATATAAAAAAATTAAGAAGTTTGTCTTCAATAATTTTTGTTGGCAATATGTCCAAGCTTTTTCCTCTTCCCTTTACAATTAACAACTGTGTTTGAACTCCTCATATCAACCAAAGCAGTGTCAGGAAAAACATTTTTCTTCTGGAAGCTTTAAAAATTTTGGATTCCAAATTGGTTGTGCTTTGGAGTTACATGAAGGCTCAGGTGGCCATAATTTGGAGCCTTAGTTCTACCCTAGACTTCCTCGCTGAAGAAAAACAGCATTTTAATTAACACAGGAGCCCTGAGCTTCTCCTCTACTAACACATCCAGAAATAAGCCATGTCCCAGAATCAAATCTATAAATGTTGAGCCCCTCAGTCTTACTCACATGTGCACGTCAAACTCTGCCACACTCCAAAATCTAGGTACTTATTTTACCTAGATACAATTTCAACCAGACACATGAAATTATCTGAAGCAATATTGAAAGTCTCTGGAAACAAGGAATTTGTCCTAAAGTTCTGCAATGAATGAAAGTGCATTTTTGAAAATGAAGTCTTTGGAGACCAGGAGTTCAGCATCAAAACCATTCAAAAGTTTAAAAATGTGTCTTTCAGCAGATTGTCTCACAATGTTTGGCCAGATTACTTGCACTTAAAAATGCCATAACAAACTCGAAGCTTCCATACAATTTTAAAAAGACAAGAGCAAAGATTAAGACCATTTCACTTGGCTACCTGACGCACTTACAGTAAGTTAATCAATACTGCATTTCAAATATTTTCAGCTTAAAAGTAATCAGTCTGAATTGCTTAAAGGATTCAGAGAAACAAAAGTCTCAATTTGTTCCTTAGAAGAAAAAAAAATGAAAAAGAGATAAAAACTACTTATATTGTGACAGGGTCTTTTCTCCTATGTTACAAGCTATATATGTAGAACTGTTTCAGAAAAATATCATGTTAATAAAGCAAAAGTCTTGTAATGAACAGAGACCCCATGAAAAGTTGCTATACTTACATGGATTGCTGTATGCCTATAAGGAAGCTTTGCATTCTCAATGCACTGTCCACTGGTGACATTCCAAACACACATCTCCCTGCCAAAGATAACTTCATATTATTCTCTGTCATTTCCACTCAATTGGCTGGAATAATTTTATGCCACCAAGTTTTTCTTTAGTGCTGTATTTAAGTGCAGTCTGGTCATTTATAAAGCTTTTTGTTACAGATTGCTGGGTAAGAAAATGTAGTCATTAGGAGGGGATGACATACACTATCTGTTTCTTTTTGTTTTGGTAATTACACCCTACTGCCTTGCAACCAACCTGACTTTAAGACCAACTCTGGTCTACAACAAATTGCAGGTATACTGACATTACAGCTCGTCAACATGTCACTGTAACTATCTGTCACTGGAACTACATCCTCCTGAAAATGATTCATTTCACTGAACTTAAACCACACGTTTCGAGAAGCATTATGCATCTTCTCCCACATCAGACTTCAGTTCTTACGGAACTTCTGTTAAGAAGAAACAGTGCCATCATGAGGCTGTTCCCGAAATCTGCTCTTGATACACTCAAGCACCTGAGTACCTGTGCAACACTACAGCTACACTTGAGCACATTAAAGGTTGTTTGAGAAAGACACTTTGGCACACCTTCCTTATCTACACATTATTCAACATCCAGTGGGACTGGATTACAAGAGACAATCAAATTTAATGTTGTAAATGAGGCTGTATGAGATATGCTACCACAGTTCAGCAGCTGAATGTTAAACTTTGATGCTTTCAGATTTTGTTAAAAAGACAAACATTACATCCAGAACTGAAACATTCATTTCATTTATTCTGGCATTACAATGTAAGAAATTTTCTCTATTGAGACTTAAAGAATACATTGGGAAGAGTATCTTATTATATAAGAAATACTATTTAGTGAATTATATTTTAACCTACTTTCCCATTTTATGCTAAACTCAAAGTATTATTTCTTAATATTTTTCAGCTGAGCAATAACAGCGTCAAAGGTGGTAGATCCAAAGTCAGAACTTAAGTAAAAGCTTCACACTGTTTGTTAAGCATTTCAGAGCAATTATTTTCTCCTTGTTTATATCAGAACTTTACTGTTTTATGTACATTACTGTGATACAATACATACTTACAAACAATCACAAATGAGATCAGAATGTGAGAACGTAACTTCAGCTTCTAGATGTTGTATTCAATTTACTGTGTGCACTACTAAGGAGTGAGCAATATCACACACTCCATACAGCATATGTTTTAAGACTTTCTTGAGGGCTTTCTTTTAAGGTTTGTCATTTACAGGACATCAATGAGAACTTATGAATCATTAGATTCACTTACAAACTTCCATATTAGGAGTACAAAAAATAATGTTCAATGTTCATTCTTTTGGGATTAGTAGGTTATAGAAACTCTGAAAATCTGGAGTGGAACAGTGAAGATTATCATAGAATCATATTCTATGCAATTCCTTTCCACATGAGGAGACTGAAGCTTGAAAATGGCAGAGGTGAATTATTCACAAGCCAGAAAATGCAGTTTGGCAAATCCTCCATCTCCTGAAGACAAGGCTTCCTATTTGTAATTATCTCAACTTCATGCTGCAACCTTAAAGGGATCAGTGATGGATGCTTTGCCCTTATGTAATACAGATGAGAAGTCAGCAGTAATTTGGTGAAAGTGAACACTTAAATGGGCCAGAAGACAATTCAATCCTACCTACACACATTCCAAACAAGTCAATGATCCCTTCAGAGATAAAATCTTCAGGATGCGAACATATCTGTATGGTATATCTATAGCAATTTCCTCATTTGGTTCTTAACACTTTCCACCCCAGCTTTCTTGGAAATACAGTATCTTTGCTCCCAGTATGATCTGGAAGCAGTACTGCTCTAACAGACCTTCAAAACTGGGTTGAAAAGCAGTTTCATCTCAGAACCCTTGAGTAGAACTGTAGAAGGCAATACAGAATTGGTTCTGTAGATTTCTCACCCTCTCTGCATAAACAAAACAAACAGTAGCATTTACCACTAGGCTGTCTCACTGGACAGGTAATCTTTCAAGATCAAGAAACTTTTTTGCAGGCTATCCCTTTTTTGTATACTCATGACTGAATGAGAATCCTAGCAGCTGGAAAGGATAAATAAGCTACTCAGTGAGAAACCAGCAGCCTTAAGGGGATGTAAGATACAGGTTGAAGGACAATTGACAGGTACTCTTCATGGAAAGCTGTTTTAACATAGCTGCTCTGCTAATTCAAAAAGATAAACCCCCCCAAAAAGAGGGGGATCTAATTAAACAGACAAAATTGCTTAAGAAAGCCCATAAGAAAGTAAACAGCTAGCCCTAACTATTTTTAACAGATGAAATCTTAAAAAGAAGGTCTTCAGAGCCCAGCTGAAAAGGTTATCAAATACTCTTAAGTGTAACCTAGCAGAAATGCGGGAAGTAGTTTGACTCAAGTGACAGAATATGTCATAATAAACAAATAGCAGAAAAGCTGCAAGATCATGGCCCTCTGAAAGGATGTTCTCCAAAAGAGCATAGCACATCTAAATACAGAAAAGGAGCACATATGCTTTCAATTCAGTCCGTTCTGTGTTTCCATACAAACTGACTGAGGAACCATACACCAGATCAGAGCACATTAGCCTCTTTTACTGGTTCAGTTCTCAAGACTGAGTTCAGGCAGAAACAAAGAAAAATACCGTGATATTCAAATGCTGTTGAACTTGCTGATGCCCTCCAATAACCCATTAATTTCCCTTTGAAGAGGGGCTAGCCAACTCCTTTGGATAACTCCTTTTTTTATGTCAACTAAGTGACTATGTGAATCTGCCAAAGCTTTCTGCTGTCCATGGGATGAGCTCCTAGTTGGAACTATGGGATATTAACAATGTAGTCTATTCTAAGTAGCTGTTAACATTTTAATGTCATGGAAGTAGATTGAAACATTTTTGCAAATGCATAATCTGACCTACACTTGACATTTCATGATTTAAGAAATGAATAATTGAATATTTAGTTACCTACCCATTTTCAGTAGCACTTACTACATATGGCTGTTTCTCAAACTCTCTTGCTTTTGCCAGACAAGTTACAGAAGCAGTATGGCCAAAGAGAATTTCTTTAGATGAAATCTAGGAGAATAATAGAATGATTTATCTTAAACAACTTCTGTATAAACTAAGGGTATCTAAAACCAAGAGAATGTTATTTATAGATATATATTTTTATCAACCTGCTTTATATTTTTATGTTCTCCAGTCATATTTCTAGAATGCAGACAGAAAGATGTGGATGAATTTTAATGCATATTAGTATAAAGCTAAGTTTTTGTATTCATTGCATTCATCTTCTGAAGAACATATGGAACATCAAATGTTATAAAATGGGAAACGTGCAGAACTACTCCTGCCTTCACCCTACAGCATGCACCAAAAGTGGCACAGTGAAGTAGACACTGATCCAAAGTTCTTAAACATGTTTCATACCAAATGTATAAATAACCTCTCTGGTTATCATCACTGCATGCAAGCATTTTAATTGGGAAAGGAAGCCTTATAAAAGTGCAAACTTTCAGGCTGTGTTTGAATACAAGTGAACAATTATCATAAAAAAAGGACCATAGTTCTAGAAACACAGAATAAAAAAATCAGGAACCATTTTCACTCTCCTCCAGTCTCAGTAAAATAAATATGAAATAATCAAAGAAATAATTTGCATCTTAATTACATAAAAAAATAAAAGTTTCATCTTTCTGCTTCTCTCTCTGTAGACAGATTTGGTTTTATAAATAGATACTTTCTCTTTAAATGACAAGTCATGATCAGGAATTAATTTACAAAAGAAAAACCTTCACAAGATAGGAATCATGATAATTTTATATATTTACTTGTTGTCATTACTCAGAGCACACAGTCTCACTTTATAATTCACAGGTCATGCTAATCTATGAAAAATTCTCTGAAGTTTGCAAGTAACAGGTTATTTATATTGGCATTTTACTTTCTGTTTCATGAGTTTCCTATAACAATTATCACACTACCTTGAAAAATTCATCTGAATAAGTGCAAATCTAGATAATGCTATTACCAATAATAAAACATAAAACTCCGGTCTGTCTATCTGGCAAACTGTAGCACAATGGACACAAACCTGTAAGTCTGATGAAAGATTCCAGAGACAAATTTGTCCTTCTTGGCTTCCTGTAACTATGGTCTGCTGGTCATCTGTGATCATAACAGCAGTGATGCTGTGAGAGGGAGCTGTTCTCCCCCACACAGCCACAGCCGGTACCAGTGTCTTCATGGTCAACACCTGAAAACAAACAAGTCATGATGATTAAGAAAGATTAAACACAAGGGAAAAAAACCCTAAGAAGGGAGGAATTTAATCAACATCTGGAAAGGGAAGCTATAAAATATTGCTATAAGAAGCTGGTGTGGCATTGAAACATTTCTTTGCTGTTGCCAACATGACACTAATGATTTCAGGGACCAGTACTATCAGAATACTGAAACATCAGCAACAAGAGTTGCAAGCTGCCCCACACAGCCTGGCTTAGCTCAGATGGGCTCACATTGTTCTGCCTAAATGTGGCTGGTGGAGCACATACCTCCCCTGTTCCCTCCAGCCAGCAGTAGCCAACTGCTGGAGCAGAGATGGCACAGGAGCAGGATGTCAATAAAGACTCTGTGGTTTCCAAGAGGATAAGGCAAAAGAAAGATAATATGGCCAAAGGAGAGAACTGGTGACAGGTCAGAGAGGAAGAGAAAAATGAGGCCCAAGATGGCAAAGCACTGCATTCCCAACCACTCTGTTGCATCTCCTAGAGACAAGAACCAAAATAAAGGTGGCAGCAGAGTTGCAAGCTGAGAAACAGGAAATGAACAGACTCTCTCTGTTGCTCAAGACACGAGTCCCTTGTCCAAAAAAATTTATCATCTAATAGATTTTTCCCCACTGCAAAAAATTGATTTAATGGAGTTGTCCATTGGGCTGAGGGCAGTTTTGACTCCAATCAGCCAGGCAATAGACAGATTGACAACAGCTGGCAGATTGAATGATGTCAAAATTGTTTGTATATGTCAACATCTACATTATTCTCAAATGTCAGCGAACAAGAAGAAACAGGTTTTAAGCTGTTTCAGATTCACCATTGTCTAAGGTCACTTAGGTGACATACATTACTTTTGTAAAGAACAATTAAAATATTTGTTTATTTTACTTTTAATCCAGACAACAATACAATTGAAGACATTCTTCAGAACAACCACTTTGCAGGAACTAAGCAAAATCCACCTTTCAGAGAAGGCATGCTCCAATTTGTCCTGGAGAAAGAAGAGACACCAGACCCCTTTGCACATCCTTGGGAAAGATGTTCAGAATGAAAGATGCTACAGCAGTGCAGTTGGGGGAACTGTAAAAAACATGACAGTAAAGCTGAACTTTTGTGAGGAGAGACAGGAAGTGGGCAGAACAAAATGAGTGACAGCCAGTAAGAGTGAGTCAAAGGAAGTAACACAGGAATGATGAGAAGCAACATGAAGAGCAGTTCCTGTGATAATTCAGAAGAGGCCACAGGACAGAAATGGAGCACAGAAGCAGCCTTCTAAATTATGCTTAGAGAAACTGTAACCCAGCACAATAGCAGCTGAAAGCATGGATGCAGACAAGATATCATCATGACTATTACTAAAAGCCTTCAGTAACACAGAACTAAAGGAATGGTCTTGCTTCCTGACAAGAAAATGAGATAAAGGGCCCAGATATAAGAAAAAAGACTGAAAACACTGGTATGCCAGACTGATGAGGTCCTGCCATACAACCTTAATAGGTTGAGGGCAGAGGAAGAAGAATCCAAGAAAAAATTGAGGTCATGAGTTCATTAGGCTAAATCTCAGTTTTATTTAAAGGCTCTTTGTGGATATGTAAAAGTACTGAGACTTGTTATTGTTCCCAGCATTGGAATCTGACTTTTCTAAAACTTTTTTTTTTAAAATCTCCGGTCACATGACATTACTGGTGAATACTGAAATCCTTTTCCCTTGCATTTTATGCCCTGAAATAAAAGGTCTGGATAACCTTTAATGACATGCTTTTACTTATCAGTTAAACTAGAAAAGGTTGTCATTTTCATAGGGCTTATAAAAGGAAGGCTACCAAAAGAGTTTGATAAGCCAAATCCTTCATCTTTAAAATGCATTTGCCTGCATATCATGAAGTTATTTATACTTGTACCATGGGAGTGTTCAATTAGTATAAAACACCACAAGGAAGCACACTTAAGGTTTGTACTGCATTGAATAATAAGTCATAAAATATATTTTCTTATAATGGAAGCATAGAATCAAGCTCAGTATTCTTAGCCAAAGACCTACTGCTGAGAAAGTGATGAGTAACAGAGAACTCAAATCAACAGATGTTAAAAAGAAAAACTGATAGAATTTGCTGATGTAGAGATGATCTATTTGCAGACAGTTTAGTTACTCATGAGTAACAGGAATAAAAAACTATTGCTACTGACAAAACACTGGTTGTAAGAGAATGAATTTAGACTGAAACATTACGAGAAGATTTTGTATGTTTTCCTTTACATTACAACTGAAGCCCAAGAGAAGGAAAGCAGAAAGTATATGAATTTTTGTATTAATATAGTCCTTAACATTTTTCTCCACTTGCTTCTTGATTTTTTGGATTAAGATATTATGATGCACAAGCAGTTTGAATTAAACCTTTGCTTCTTAGTGTAGCATGACTTCACTAGAAATACAGCATATCCACATGGATATATTCTACCTGAAAATACTTAGCTTTACCAAATTTTTTAGTGATACTGATGGCACATAAACTTTTTTGAAATAAAATCAACGGGTATTTATCAGACTGTTCCTTTTAAAAAGGTAAAAGCTGTTTTCACAAAGTCAAATACTGCCCAAGGCATATCAAGCTGCATGTAGCTTATCAGCACATGTCAAATTCCTCTAGCTCTGCCCACTCAAGCATGTCTGATTTGCAGTATTAACCCATAATTCCACTTGAAATCACGTTTCTTAGTCCTCAGTGCCCATTTTTCCCTGCTTACAGCCTAATAAGCTTATTTGTGCTGCCCTTATAACCAAACTGCCAGAGTGCTCTCTCATTACTGAAAAGCTCTGGTTTTAGTTAAAACCATACCAGCCTATCCCACCACTAACTTGGTTCCATCTCTGCCATTCTGTCTCTAGTTCCTTTTCACACTGAAATCAAGCCAAAAACCAAAGCTGGAATATCATCCACATTTTCATTGCTTCAAGGACTTTGGTTGTACTACTTTAGTAATTTTGGACCATTTGTGTAGTACCAAAGCTTAATTTGGAAAGCTGAGTACACTACCTCTTATTCTACAGGAGCCATGACATATTTAAAACTCGAATCAAAAGCTTTAAGAGGCCAGAAAGCCAAAGGTCTGACCTTGAATGCCTTACTAAGCACATATTTATGCAAGGTCTTTTCCTCATCACTCAGCTTTTTTGACTAGGTCTGGTCATGAACCGGCGAGAATGAAAAAGGTCAGACTATACCACAAAGAATCAGTTCCATCATAATTTAACATATTCTTTCCCCATATATACTAAGTGCATCTTGACTCTGACTCCTCTACTGACCTTAAAACATGATGAAACAATTGTTAGCTTCTCTATTGGGCTCATCTCAGACCTTCCAATTACCGCTACATAATTACTGCTTAACCTCAGAACACATCCCTTCCCTGAGCTGCATTTTCTCAAAATAAAATTTATAACCTTAAAGCCAGTGGCCTGAGAACACGAAGGGTTAGAAGGGCAGAGTGGCTGAGGTCTCAGGAGCTTGCATACCCATGCACTCAGAGTGATCTGAAGTGAGAAATCTGGGCTCTGGTTTTGCCCCACTGAAGACTGTGGCACATGGTCCTTGCATTTCCAGTGCTTGCTCAAAAGCCTAAAGGAAGCTTTACTGTATGACACATCCTCAAGATGTTAAACTATTAGATTTAGTTGTGAGAATGATGTTTCTTGATAAAGAAAATACATACCTTGATCTTTAAATGAAATAAGAAATAATACTTCTGATAAATATATATATACACCTAAGTTCTTAAAATGAGGAGCTAAGCTCCCCCTAGGGACCTAATCTCAAATAGCTCATCTTCTAAAATGCTGGTTGTGACAACATTCTTTCTCATCACTATAATCCATAAAAAACTACCAAATGCAAATTTATAGTTTATTTATAGAAGGAGAAGGACTTCTTAAAACACAATATCACTTTACAGGTAACAGTTAACCTGCCAAACTAACATTTTCTAATTTATAGCCATACATATTTCATGTTTCCTACACATTCCAAGCTGTCAATAGAAGACCACTTTCTTAAAAGTCCAGTAAAATGTCTGGCAATCAATGCGGGCACAAACCAAAACAAAACATTGCAGAAATTTGCTTGTGGTCCTGAAAATATTAAGATATCAGCAGAATTTAGCTGTTTGCATTGGATTCCATAAATTCTCCCCATGTAAACCCCATTATATTCATCCTTGTAGTAAAGGAAGCCTTAGGAAGTAAATTTAGGTTCAGCCTAAATTTTTTTTCATTATCAATTCCTATGGTTTTTATATTTCTAACCTATCTTCTTCTGTTCCTGTCTGTTCTTTTGTTTTGTCTGACAAATTTTCTTAAGTTTCTACACAAGAAAATAAAGTTCTATCAATACTGGTTTTGCTCTTAGTAAAAGGTTAATAATTTTTCTTGAAAGTAGCTTTGCAGTCTACTGGTCCATTCTAGCCTGCTTTCACAACTTCCTCTATTTTATGATATAAACGTTGTACTCTCCTTAAGGATATTGCGTATCACCTCTGGTAGTCCATTTTAAGATGTGATGAGACTTTCCTCAAAACCTGTTGGGCTACACCCAAAAGGGCTGGAGTCACTGCTCACTGACACCCCCACCTCCCTGGGGATGGAGATGTCCTGCTCCTGTAGTCCAAGGGAGCAGGGTACTGGGACCAGCAATCGATACAACCCATTTTAACTAGCAAGAAGCACCTGGTAATACCTTGTTTGTATTTCTTGAACGAGTGACACAAGAAACACTTATTTCATTCCACACAATAATTCACCACAATCAGAAGGAGCACAGTAAGGGCAACACCATCTCCCAGCTGCTGATTACATCAAAGGTTTGCAGCACAAATTCAATTTTATGATGTTAATCTCAACCTGCCACTCAGAAATTTTCTCTGAGGGATATGATTTTTTTTCTCTGGATTTCATTTTAAGAATGATTTTCTT